TGCTACCAATCCTCAACAAAAATGCTCACAACAATGAAAACCTCGGACGGGGAAGAGCGCCACCAGGTGGGCAGGTAGGTGTCTTGCTCGACTGTGGCTTGGGGGACACTTTTTTCAGTGCCATTGTAACTTCGAACAGTTACTAAGCGAACTGTTGTAAGTCAAGGACTATCTGTACTTCATCACTTTTTTCTTTTTTTTTTTTCTTTCTTTTTTTTTTTTTGGTCATCAAGTTTTTGACACCTTGCTAGGCGACTGGTGGTACTCGATATTGCCATATCCTAAAAGTGGTATAATGGGTGAAAAGGTTGAAAAGCCCTGCATTAGATGGCATTTTTTAATTGACAGGATGCAGAGTACGCCAGCCCTGTCAGAATAAATAGAATAGGCAGTCACTACAGCAATAGCACTTAGACTACCGCTTCACTGTGCTTTACAGCCCTCTCTAAGCGGTTTATAGAGTCAGCATATTACCCCCAACAATTTGGGTCCTCAGTTTACTGACCTTGGAAGGATGGAAGGCTGAGGTGATGAGATTCGAACTGCCAAACTGCTGGCAGTCAGCAAAGTTAGCCTGCAATACTGCATTCTAACCAGGGCAGCAGATAGGTAGTTCCCGAAATACTTAGGCTGCATGCCTTGTAGCAGAGGTCCCCAACCTTTTGAGCACCAGGGACTGGTTCCGTGGAGAGAGGTTTTTCTGTGGACCGGAGGGGGTGTGGTTTCATGTACTGCCTGCATCCCACAGATGGGCTTTGCTTGTTTGAGCGGACCAGTTTCTGCCATGCAGCCCGGTGCCGGTCCACAGACCGGGGGTTGGGGACCCCTGCCTTATAGGGCTTTATAGGTGCTATCCAGGACGTTGAAATACACCCGGAATCCAGTTCATCTCAGTAGCAAGAGTACTACATGGGAATAATGAAGCATGCGCATGAGCTGCACTTTGGATCGGCTGTAATTTTGGGATGGCCTTTCTGGCCAGCTTCATGCAGAGCATGTTGCAGTAATCCAACTGCAAGGTAAGACGCGAGTGACCATAAGGAGGGTCATGCCAGGAATGGACCCAACTGGTCCACTAGCTGAACCTATACAAAAACTTTCCAGTTCACAACCATTAACTTGCTCTGTGAGAAGGAGTTCCAAATTCAGAAAGATCCCTTCAACTTTCATGTAGAACTAGTAGGACTAAGCACACAAAACCACTCAGCCTTACTAGGGTTTCGTCTGAGCCTGTCCTTCATATCCAGAGCCTCTTCCTCCATATCCAACAGCTTTCGGGGGAAAAAAAACCAAAGCCTTGTTTGGATGGTTAAAAGTTGAGATATATCCATCAGTGTTACCTGACCCTATAAAGCAGCGGTTCTCAACCTATGGGTCGTGACCCCATTTGGGGTCGATCGACCATTTCACGGGGGTCGCCAAGCAAGGCTGTCCGCCATTTTTTTCCCCTTTTCCGGCGGGTGCCTTACCTCCCTTGAGCTGGGCCAGCTGGTGGTTGGCCTGCTCCGTCTCTGCCGCTTGCCAGCTACGCCTCAGCCGGCGCAGGGGGCGGAACCACGCATGAGCGGTGCTCCCGGGCAGGGAAAGTCCTCGACTTACGACCGGTTGGGTAGTCCCTGACTTACGACCGGTTTAGTCCTCGACTTACAACCGGTTGGGGGTCGCGGCATTAAAAAGGTTGAGAACCACTGCTATAAAGGATCACCTCCCCCAACAGTTTCATGTGGATGTTAAGCAAGTGAGTTGAGAGTGTTAAGCTTTAGGCACGCCACAGAAAGGTTTAGGACTCAACCTCTCCCCCCCCCCTTGAACACCAGATTTTAACTTGATCTTTTTAAAGTTATTTCCTAGGAAGTCTCATTTTCCACGTAATATAATTATTACAGAGATTCCGGATTTGTGATTCCTTTAATAAATGAAATCATGCTATATCAAAACAGTATGAGTCTCTACAATCTGGTGCTTGTTAGATGTGCTGCCATTAGAGTTTCAAACTTCAGGGGGCAGCAGGGGGGAATTGTAGTTCTGATATGTTCCGCACGGTATTTTGTTGTATGGCACGGTCTTGCTTGAGAGAGGCTCAGAGTAACTTTGCGTAGCACATAGTTTCTGTCATCCCAAAGGCTTAGTCCTTAAAAATCTGCTTAGATCAGGGGTCTTCAAACTTGGCCTTTTTATGACTTGTGGACTTCAACTCCCAGAATTCCTCAGCCAGCGTGCCACATCATGTATGAAGTACTACTTTCGATGTTCTGCACCTTTAAAGCGATTGCTTTGGATTTCATATTAACTATAACTTTGATAATTGCCATGGCTGCTGTTTATCTTTGGTATTACTCATTCACCTTGAAGATATATAGTGCGTTCTTGCACACAAAGAATATAAATGGGATTAGTTCAAACCTTTTTCAAGGCTTTAGTTCCTTAATGGCTAGTGAAATTGAGGAATCCATTCCTTTGCTTCTGCTAACGGTAGGTTTTCAGTTCTATTTAATGCTAATCAGGTAGGGACGTGTATTTTCTATATACTAAGGCAAAGTGCAAAAACTGTAACATGATTCCTTGCCATTTACAACGCACCTTTGCACAGACTTTACATTCTAGGCATCAGTGAGTAATCTTGTTTGAGCAGTTTCAAACTGTAGCCCAGAACATAGTTTTAAGGGTTTGATATAAATGTCTTTTTTCCTTTTTATTCTACTTGTGACGGTATTCTATATTCTGAGTTATCAGTGTGAAAATAATTTTACTTATCTATGAAAATTATTTCTGCTATAAAAGAATCCCAAATGTTCATTGTAAATAACTTTTGGATTAGAGAATTGTTGCATTTTTATTAAACGAGTTTGATAAAAGTTTTCTTAAATCACACACTTATATTGTTCGTCAGAGATGGAAACATAGAGTCATTGTTCTGACAGCTTTTCTTTTTTGTCTGATCTATATTTGTTCTTAACCTATGATTTTACTTACTGGGGCATAATAATATGAAAGTTAGGAAACATATTGATATACAAACCCGGGCATCATATTTTGGGGACTCTTCAAAATATCATAAATGTATTACTGCCTCTCTACTTAACTTCCTGTAAGAACGCACCATGTTGGTTTAAACTACCTGCGTGCCTGACGCTTGTAAGGAGAAGGCAAAGGGTAAAGTACATGCAGCAGGTCGAAGAAGAGCCGTAGAAGCCCTGTGGAACTGGAACAAGAGGATAGAATTAAATCTGTTTTTTACGGGATTAAAGAAATTGAGTTTCATCTCTGATTTATCTGCCTTGCATTTTAAAACACTGTATGCTGTTTAAGTCAGGGGTCCCCAAACCCCGGTCCATGGACTGGTACCGGGCTGCAGCATACCAGCAATGGGTCCACACAAACAAGCAAAGCGCCATCTGTGGGATGCAGGCAGCACACAAAACCACGCACTCTCTGGTCCATGGAAAAACCTTTCTCCACGGAACTGGTCCCTGGTGCCCAAAAGGTTGGGGACCTCTGGTTTAAGTAGTTACTGAAAGACTGAATGCTATGCTGACCCACAACAAAGACACTGATTCACATGAACATAAGTAGCCCACATCTCCAGGTTTTGATTGTCATTCCCCTTCTAGGCCATCACCTGCATAGCTACAGCAGTATAGCAGCCTTTGGTGCTCCCAGATTGTTGACTTTTATAATTTACAACACAAGATACATACAAAACATGCAAATATTTATGGATGTGGAATTCTTAATTTCAGAATGTCAACAATGAAAGACGACAACAGGAGACTGGTGACCAGAGAGCGAATAATCCTACTCCAGCATCTAATGGACAGCCACAGCAAAGGCCTCGACAAGTGGTGGAGCAAGAGGAGGAGGAGGAGGAAGAGCTGACACTAAAATATGGGGCCAAGCATGTGATCATGCTCTTCGTGCCTGTCACATTATGTATGGTAGTTGTGGTTGCAACCATCAAGTCTGTCAGTTTCTATACGCGCAAGGATGGGCAGCTGTACGTAACTAATTTTTTCCATACTTGCTTTTTTTTCCTGCTGTGATACTCTTTTTCTTCTCTGTATTTATTCTTTAACCAATGTTTCAAAATCTAATTATTGTCAGTACATTTGCTATTTTTTTTTTTAAAATAGTCTTTGCCAGTCGTTTGGTTTTGCTAAATCCCTTTTCCTCTAGTTCCCCAAAAGATACAGTTTTGGACAAGAAATATTCAATTTCCTTCCTTCCCATTTCTCCAGTTTTAAATAACTCTTCTGCTTCTTTATGTTTCTTTGAACAAATACATGTGGTTATGGAATAGCATTGGATAGTTTCATTCATAAATAGTATATTGGGTGAATCCTTCTAAATTTCCTCTACCCGTGAGAAATGTATAGAAATAGGGGATCTTCTTTCTCCTGCTCTTTTCATATCTATTCTAGAGGCCTTCCTTGATCCTTCCTAACAGATGGGGTTTTGTTAATGCCCCTTTCTCTCATTTTGCTGACAGAAGCCTCCTATCAATGCAAGCACAGTTCTTTGATTTCGCCTCTTGTATTTTCATGTAAAATCAATTTACATCTTCTTTTTAAGAATTAAATGTTTTTTTTAAATTAAATGGTTATTACCTTTATTGTTTATCTCTTTAATGTTTAAATATCATAGGAGGTCCTGGAACTAAATTAAAATACACCCCATCATTCAACTTGCATTCTTTTAGAGTTTAGGTGTGGGTTAATGGATCTCAAAATGGCAAATGCTTTTTCGTGTGCATTAATGGAATGTTAACTGAAATATCCGATTGGGAAAGGGATGTCGGAGTCAGGATTTATAGCTCATGATAACCCATTGCATACATATTGCAGAAACCATAGAAGTCGTGTTTTGGATTCATTAAAAAGGGAACTGAAAAAGGATGATCAAATAGAGGAAATGCCAGGGCAAGATAAGACCCTGCATGGCATGTAACATTGATAGATAGCTGAGTTAGCTGATGTTGGGAAATCCTGAGAGTGGCTGGAAAGGACTGCATTAAAAAAACAATGCTGATCACAGCAGCACAAGCACAGGAACTAAGCACCAGATCCTTAGAAGCAGGAGTCTACTACAGTAGACAGGACCCAAGGTTCAGACCATGCAGTGAGGCCTCAGAAACAGTCCAAACACATAGTGGCAAGATGTGCGATGCAGGCAGGAATTGTGTACCCTGAAAGGCACAACTGAGTAGTTGGCATTATGTAAAGGAACCTATGCACAGTGTATGGGCCTTCCAAATCAAGATGGGAGATTCCACAAAAGGTTGTGAAGAATAACAGAGTTAAGATCCTCTAGGATTTTCAGATCCAGATGGATAAGCAGGTACTGGCCAGTCAATCAGACATTGCAGTAGATAAGGACCAGAAGATAGCAGTGGTGATTGATGTAGCTGTGCCAGGTGACAGCAACATCAGGAAGGAGTATGAGGAACTGGAGAAGTAGCAGGACCCGAAGGAGGAACTAAAGGGAATATGGAAAGTAAAGGTCAAAGTGGTAGTAGTAGGAGCATTCGGGGCTGTCGTCCCTAAGCTGGGAGAATGGCTCCAACATATCCCAGGAAAAACATCAGACCTCTCTATCCAGAAAAGTGCGGTGCTAGGAACAGCCAAGATACTATGCAGAACCGCAAAACCCCCAGGCCTCTGGAGTAGAGGACCTGAGATTGAGAAAGACCCATGTCTTCCATGTAATATGGAATGTAGACAGATGTATGACTTCTTCTTTAATAATATGACATAACATTACCTGGGGAATTTTATTGTGTTGGGTCAGGTTTGTCTTGATCAGCATAACTTGTCTTGTGTTTTATGGGACAAGGGTTCTTGTACATATTAAGCAGATTCATATTCTGCTGCTGTGTTTTTGACTTTGTTGGAAGCTTAAAATGGAGTAGTGATGTGCATGTAATTCATCTTCTAGCCACTAGATGGTGCATGCCAAAAACTTTATAAAGTGTTCCATATCTGTTGAATTCTTTTCAGATGAATTTAATCAGAAAATGTATCCTGATTTAAAAGCATGTGACATATTTTATTTTGCTCTGCATTGCATTGTAGAATCTATACTCCATTTACAGAAGATACAGAAACTGTTGGACAAAGAGCTCTGAATTCTGTTCTCAATGCTGCCATCATGATTAGTGTCATTGTTGTCATGACTGTACTCCTGGTTGTGCTTTATAAATATAGGTGCTATAAGGTGAGCTCAAAATTATTTATATTTTCATTCAAACTCCCATTTCCATTTATTTATAATGCCATTCTAGAACTTACTCTATTCCAGTTTGTAAAGGACCGAAACTATTGTTAAATCTATGTTTCATCTGAGGATTAACTATGAAACAGCAGAACGGGACAAAACAAAATAATAACATACTTTTGTATTTTACAAAAGAAATTTGTAATAATGACCATCAGAAATTGGCAGTTAGATATTTTAAATCTTATTTAAAAATGATTTTGAAAAGGAAAAGACCCTGAAATAAATTAAAATGATTTAATTAACCTGATATTAAAATGTGTTCAAATAACTAAATATTGGCATATGTTGGGTGACTCCTTTAATTTCACTAGAGATTTGTTCCTTTTGGTTTTGTTCAAAAAAACCTTTATTCTGTTACATGATCTACAGATTGATGTAAGCAATTCAGGTTTTACTAACAAAAATAAAATATTCTGCAATATAAATTCAGAAAGTTTTTAAATTATATTTTAATGGGTGAATGGAATCAGTTAATGTGGACAGAATTGTCAAATGAAGCATGGTAAACCAAATTCTGAAGATCTGCCTTTATGTACTATTAAATGATACCTTTTGTAAATTTAATTTAGAAATATGTATAGGTTGCTTGTGTTATAGAACAATTTTTAATTTATAGGTGGTGCAATATATGTAACAGGTTTACATTATCAGAATTATCTGTGAATATTTCTGTACTGAAATTATAATTATAATGATCTTCATTTGTATATTAATTAAATGTCAGTTCTCTGATAACAGTACTGGTTAAAACACCATACTGTACATTCCAAAGAATACTACAGGTTCTGGATTATACATTCTTTTCAAGTCTTTTTTTTCATATTTTATCTTTAAGACTTTTTTTCATATTGCATCTTTAAGTCTTTTTTCATATTTTATTAATTTTCTAATTTTTCAATCATGAGTACTTAATAAACAGCGGGTTGTCTGGGTCCATTGGTAATTCAGTGGTACATATTAACTTTCTACAGTCTAGTTCCAATACTACACCATCCAGTGCTTCCTTGATCCTTTCTTTTTCCGGTGGTATGCATTTTTCCACACTGGGCAAATACAATTCTTGTTACTGTTAATATACAATTAAATATAGACATCTTCATCACATTTTTCTGGTATTATACATAATATCGATAGTGTCAGTTTATAGTATCTTTTCTAGCCAGAACACTATATAATTGCATCCCACTTTAGGATTTTAAAAGTCTTTAAAAAGGAGCTTACAACATAAAGAGATTGTCAGAAATCCTTGGTATCTAGATGGGGCTCTGCATACAGCCCTCAGTATTTCATAACATGTTATATGAAGATGTTCTAAAGTTTCAAATAACCATTTTTGAAATGGGCAATCTAATATCAAGTCTGAAAATTAAACCCATCTTTTATTTGTGTTTCAGGTGATCCATGGTTGGCTCATTGTTTCTTCTCTTTTTTTGCTTTTCTTTTTCTCATTTATTTACTTAGGGTAAGTATAGAAATATTTTGCTATTTAGATTTGTCAAAATGGGGGAAACAGGTTCAGATTAAGTATCCTTAAATCCTAGCTGCTATATTAAGATTTACATATAGGGATTACATTTAACAATAACAAATGCTTATGATTCAAAGTTTTGTATCATTTTTAAAACTATGACCATTGGATTTCAAAGAAACAAAGCCACGTAAAGATCCCCCATTCTGTTAAAAAATATAGATATACATACATACATACATACATACATACATACATACATACTTCTATCAATACAATGAAACTTCATTTCATTGGGGACAGTGATGTCTGTTATTTGTGAAAGTCATTTAAATATAATAATTTGCATCATGTGTGCAATGATTTCATTATGCAAGTAATACAGGTTGATGCAAACAAAATAATTTGTCATTTGTCCAGTCAAATAATGACATGAGCAGAGGTATGTTTATAAAGTCCATTATATCAAGGTCTAATAAATTGAGGTTTCATTTGTACAATGAAAGCAAAATAATGCTGTAATGATGGTTCTCAAGTGGCTGGTTTTAATTTCTATACTCTAATATTAGTACGGATGAGCTTGCATAGAAAGATCAAAATGTATGGCTATCTTTAGAAGAGAGAGAGATCCTATCCACATGGGATACTTGTACACCATGCTAAGTTCTGCATAGTTAGTTCATAGCTTGCTCCTCTAATACAGTGCTTAGCAACAGAATTTTCTGCCCACCTTTCAGTGCAAATGGGCAGGTGAAAGCAAACAACCAGATTAGTTGTTGCCCAAATGATAAATGTGTAAAACATTTCTCCCTCCCCAAAGGACCCTTTGAGCCTTTAACCCTTTACAGGCAGGAACAAGAAAAGTTTGAATCTTGATTTCACTCTAAATAAAGACGTGCATTTCATATACAGGATTTGCCCAAAAACTTTTGTAAGGGCTCCGTTAACTGTGCTGCAGTACATCTATTTATTAGCTCTTTGGAGTTTTTAGAAATCTATATTTGTAGTTTCTTGACTGGCTGAGAGAACTAATACAGGTTACCACAACAATTGTAATGGTAAAATGATCTGCTGGTACTATCAGCATAGCTGAAGAAGCTTAAGTCTTCTGTAAGCTGGCCATTTGGGGATACACTTTAAACTCTGTACACAAAAGATTATTTTGAAATTGCTCTCTAATAAATTGAAAAAAAATATCCTCAGCAACTGTTAGACTATATATTATCGAAACAGTGTTTATGTTTACATACTTTATGTCCCGTGTTGATTTCTTTTTCTACAGTGCTGTGCAGTCATTTTATTTTCTGTTGAATCATTTGGATTTTGGATTTTGTAACTCTATTTGGCATTGAAATTGTTGTTGTTCACTTCTTTATTTTTTATTTATTAAATTTCTGTGCCACCCATCTCACCTAGAGTCGGCTCTAGATAGCTTACAACTAATAAAAAGCAACAAGATAAAACATCAGAACACTAAAACAATAAATATTAACACTAAAATTGACTTTACAATTAACAAAGATGGCAAGGAAAGGGGCAAGATGCTTTATTTGAATAACACAATTTTATATTATATACCATTGTCAAAATCACAAATATCTCTTTTAATATTTTGTGTTTTAGGGAAGTTTTTAAGACCTATAACGTTGCCATGGATTACGTTACTGTGGCACTCATGATTTGGAACTTTGGTGTGGTCGGAATGATCTGCGTTCACTGGAAAGGCCCCCTACGTCTTCAACAAGCCTACCTCATTATGATAAGTGCTCTAATGGCTTTGGTGTTTATAAAGTATCTTCCCGAATGGACTGCTTGGCTCATCTTGGCAGTAATCTCAGTGTATGGTAAGATTCCTCTTCAGTTTTGAGTAAAAGCCCTTTTCAAAAAATTAGCTGGTATTCTTTTTATATTTGGGATACCTGGTTATTTAAACGATTGGGAAGTCATATTATAAATCTGGGTCACACTTTGAATAAGCTTTGCAGTGGCGGGGGGGCTTTCATAGTATGGTTGCTCGGTTTCTCTCAATCTGACATAAAAGGAGAGGGAGTCTATGTGAAATAAAGTAGAAATTACTCCAGGAGATACATATAATTCCTAACCATTGAAGATAGGATTGCTTTTCAGTTTTTTTGACTTCAACTTTCACAAACTTTTGCCACTGGCTAAAACTTACTACCCGTGATCTAGTATCGTGTGCATTTCCCCCACTGCTCTTTGGGATGGCTATACATGAGTGTAGAACCTGGCCTGTATTTATACTGAAGCAGGTTTAGTTATCCTTTGAGGAATAGGACTGAGATCTTTTCTAACAAAGGCTGTGTCAGGTGAGTTATGCAGAATGAACCCATGCATTGTCAAGTTTACAAATCTGTCACAAATATTGTTGTGTCATCTAGGAACCTCTTTTGTCAAAGTGTACTTTCTGCCAAACTTCCCTCAGTTATAGAAGTTTCTGATCAGTTTTCAGTGCAGATGCAAAATGTATCTGGGAAAGAGATTCTGCTGGCTGAATTGCTACCATTAGAGATGGGACTTGTCATGTCTCTTGCAATGTTATAGAGGTGTGGAAACAGAGTGTGCTTTATTATATACCATGTTTTTGAGCACCTGCTCCCTTTTACCACATATGTGCTAATGTTACTCTTTATAGAGAGAATTTATTGACTACAACAGAATCCTGGTTTCCTTATTTTTATTTTAATAAACACTCATTTGTTCTATGCAGTATGAAAAGAATCTAGTATTAAAAGATGAGAGTTATCTAGTGTGTCCTTCATAGATTTGGTTATTATTATCTGAAAATTCCTCTCTCCTTCTCTCCCACAACTTTCAGCCTCCCACCTTGGCCCGCAGCTTCTTGCTCCTTTTCTCCCAGAGTGTTCTCTACAGCAATGGTGGCAAACCTATGGCATGCATGCCAGAGGCAGCACTCGGAGCCCTCTCTGTGGGCACACGCACCGTCATCCCAGCCCCGCCTCCCACGGCCCCCTCACCAGCAGTCCCTCCCCAGAGGAGAGTCACCCCCGGGCACGGCCCATGCGAAGCAGTGCAGCCAAGGACATGGTAGCCGGGCAGCGGGGACAAGACTCCGCCCTTGCATCCCATCGCACGCAGATGATGCTGCGGGGCATGGGCAGAGGGTGTGACCACCATGGCGCTGCTGGGCTGCCTGGGTGATCTGTGGCAGGCCATGGAGGTGGTGGGTGGCCCAGGGCGGAGCAGGGACGGGAGTGGGGGCGGTTTTTGGGCACTTGGTCTCTAAAAGGTTCGCCATCACTGCTCTACAGTCTTTTCAAGTTAAAATGCTGACTCTCCAGGGACAGATTTGGTTAATTGGTCTTTGCATTCGAACCAGGGCATGTAATTCCCCTTTAAGCAACTGTTAGATTCCATGTTAGAGATGAATGAATATTGATCTGGGCTGAGAGTTGATACCCTGATTCAGTGCATATGGTTAGAAAGCATAGTATCATCTTCAAATGCTACATACTGTTACTTGGAAGCTTTTGGGGTTCCCTTATGCCAGCGGTTCTCAACCTTTTTAATGCCGCGACCCCCAACCGGTCGTAAGTCGAGGACTAAACCGGTCGTAAGTTGAGGACTAAACCGGTCGTAAGTCGAGGACTACCCAACCGGTTGTAAGTCGAGGCCTTTCCCTGCCCGGGAGCGCCGCGCATGCGTAGTTCCGCCCCCTGCGCCAGCCGAGGTGTAGCTGGCAAGCGGCAGAGACGGAGCAGGCCAACCACCAGCTGGCCCAGCTCAAGGGAGGTAAGGCACCCGCCAGAAAAGGGGAAAAAATGGCGGACAGCCTTGCTTGGCGACCCCCGTGAAATGGTCGATCGACCCCAAATGGGGTCGCGACTCATAGGTTGAGAACCGCTGCCTTATGCATTTGGCTGAACAGTGTGGATAATTAGCTAGCTAAGGTTAAGTTGCTCTTATTCTGAAAAAAAAAAAAGTCCACTCAACTTTGATCTTGATGGGAATTGAGGTAACTGCTGCAGTACTGAATTGTAAAAGGAAACATTTATAGCATCAAAATAGTCAAATAAGCAAAATAAGGTGTGCATTTAGAATGAAAGTTTGCATCCCAATTTGTTAGATAAAACAAAAATCCTTTTGCAATAGTGGCAAATATCTGTAGCTCAGGTGTAGGATGAGGGTGAAGGTTCGTTCTCCGAGCTTGAGGATTGGTTTCCGAAAGTTTTCGTTACCAGGCTAGGTAACATCTTCAGCTGTCTAAACTCCTCAAAAGTCCTTTTAATGTGTATGTTCCTTGTTTTCCTACCAGTAGTAAAATTTTTAAAAAATAAAGGAAAGTATTGCTTATACGCTTTTATGTTTTAATTTTTAAGTACCTACCAAAAGCTTTTCACAGTGTAAAACAGCTTTAGTTTTTTTAAGTATTCGTTTTCTTTCATACACACACACACACACACACACACACACACACACACAAACAAACAAACACATATTTTGATTTTCAAGTGGGAACAGGCAGTTTGGCAGCATTTTAAGATATGCAGACAAACAAGTTTGAAATACCATATCCTTACCAAGTTGTAAGGAATCAAAATGAATTTGTAAAACATTCTTCTTCTTCTTCTATATAAGTTCAGAAACAAAGAATAGCCGCAAAAATACAGATAATACACGCCATCAAATTAAAGTGATTTAAAATACTATACTGTCTTAAAATTCCTTGCCATTATACAAGTATAGTTCTTAATGTAGTGTAAGTTTAGTAAATTTACTGACTGTTAGAACAACTGCCAACTGACTCTGTGTAAACCTTAAAGAAAAAAAAATTGTGTTTGGCAAGAGAGGTGTTTTTCCAAATTGGAGAAACTCAGGAATTTCAAACTATTGAATTTTTCCTGAGTATGAAAATGAAGTAATGACATTTAATAGGTGTCTGTGCCTCATAACATGATGAGACTCTGTGGGTGAGGGCTGTTTCTTTGAAATAAAATAAAAATGCTGTTTTAATTGCTAGTATTTGAGCTAAACCTAAGGCCTCCCCAAGTGTTCGCATGAGGTTTCAAGTCTGAAAAAAAAACACCTGCTGCAGCATTGGGTGAGGCAAGGCAGGAATGGACTCAACCTCAGAGGCCCCACTGAAATGGAGAATTGCCATAACTTACTAACTTCCTTATGGATCCTTGCCATTAGATGTCAGGGATATCTGAGTACCTTCCATCCATAGAGTTTGGTGGACAATGGTGGAACTGGAAAATTGCTTTAACGAATAAGTAATTCTGCTATTTTTTCAGACAAGGAACGCTTGTCCTTGTTATAATGGGAGCTATACAAATGCTACATTTTGGCTTAAAATCTGGAAGGGGACCGGTCCCTTCACATATTTAAGTGTTTTTTTTAAAAAAGCTCTTGTATAGGAAAAATTGTCCTTCCCAAAAAGGGATGATGGAAGTATGTCTGCTGTTTATGTATGCCCTTGAATGACAACAAGTAACATATAAGGTTACAAATAAGTTGGTATGTGTATATGTACATAGATGAGATATAGAGATTGAGGATGATTTCATTCAGATTAGAGTAGGTGGCCTGTTTCATAAAGTCATACTTAATGCATCCCAAAATATTACATGGCTGTATGAATTTTGATCCAGAAGGCATAGAGGGGGATGGTGTATAATCAGAAACTGCTTCCCTCTCTGTTCCATTGATAGAAGTGTCTGGTAGACTAAAAAAAACATATGCCATGAGAAGGGTATCAATTAGATATCATGCTTTAATTATAAAAGTAAATACGGAATTCAGATAGGCTGTTTTCTTCTATATCCTTTATTTTCTTCTCTGAATGTCATTGTGCTAAGTTTCCTTCCCAATTTTTGAAATGTCTTGTGATATTTAATTGCTAGTGGTTTCACTGATTTGGTTTCGATCCTTATCCTGTAGTACAGTAGCAATGAATTCAGAATTAAAAGTAATAATGACCATGTTTCTGAATCAAGAGATTTATTGTAGCATGTACCTTCATGATTTTTTAATTATTAACTATTCTAAAAATGTGGGGCATATCACAGGCTGGGCCATTAAATAGATTGAACCAATCTATTGTCCTTCATAAGGATACAAAATATTGTACGGAAGTTCCACTAAGCAGTCTAATTTATTACATTCATATTACTAATTATTTCTTTCTGACCACAGAGGAGCCATTTTTGCACTTTTTAAAAAAAAAATCTCAATATTTATCTTTCAGATTTGATTGCAGTATTGTCTCCCAGAGGGCCTCTTCGTATGCTAGTAGAAACAGCTCAAGAAAGAAATGAAACTTTGTTCCCAGCACTCATTTACTCATGTAAGAACAGATTATCTGATGCTTGCTTTGGATTAGGGGGAAATAATTTATCTAATTTTCTGTGAGTCACAGTTTCCTTTCATAAGAAAACAAATCTTTGTTGTGTGCTCAAAAGTTTAAAACAGTGGTTCTCAACCTTTTTAATGCCGCGACCCCCAACCGGTCGTAAGTCGAGGACTAAACCGGTCGTAAGTCGAGGACTAAACCGGTTGTAAGTCGAGGACTACCCAACCGGTCATAAGTCGAGGACTTTCCCTGCCCGGGAGCGCCGCGCATGGGTGGTTCCGCCCCCTGCGCCAGCCGAGGCGTAGCTGGCAAGCAGCAGAGACAGAGCAGGCCGAGCACCAGCTGGCCCAGCCCAAGGGAGGTAAGGCACCCGCCGGAAAAGGGGGAAAAAATGGCGGACAGCCTTGCTTGGCGACCCCCGTGAAATGGTCGATCGGCCCCAAATGGGGTCGCGACCTATAGGTTGAGAACCGCTGGTTTAAAACCTGGGCTGGACAAGATGCTCCAGTTAGTAGATTTCCTTTGACTACAGAAGCAAAAATGAGATACAGCAAACATCTAATGTTTAAGTATACCAAACAAACTAATGACACATTTTCCCATTGTGGTGACTTTGCAATTGAGCAGTAGTTCCCCAATATACTCTACTTTTAAATGTTTATTATTAAAAAAAGAAAAAAAAATCATGCTATGTGATCCAAAATAGTTTGACTATTTCAGGGATTTTGATTGGTTTTATGGTACGGTGAATCAACTGATCCTTTAGTACAGTTTTGTACTGAAATGGGGCCATGATAGAACTACAAGATTAAAGAAGAGTACCTGTTTGGCGGATGCACGTTTTGAAGAAGATCTTTTTCTATAATATCTGTTGGGTCTGCTATCATTTACTTATGCATTTATACTAATAAAATAAAAAAACTGTTTTGCAAAGATATAATGCAAAACTTATTTTTCAGGCAATATGTATTCAATTGTTATAATGGTACCTCAGTGCTCATCATTAATTGGTTCCAGGAGGCATGATGAATATCAAAAAAGAGTACCAAAATTTTTTCCCATAAGCAATAATGTAGTGAGTCGCAAGGCAGCCAACTCTTGACTTCTACCTTGTGCATTGAATACCAAAGAAACAATAAGTCCCAGGACAAAATTTTTGCATCAAAATGTGTTGAGTACCAAATTTGATGAGCTTCAAAGCAGTTGAGTACCAAGGTACCATTGTATTAAGATTGTTTTTCAGTTTAATTAAAATGGGCATAAAACACAAATAGAAAAAAGAAGTTTTGCTGTTGACTTCCATTTTAGCAACGTCTTAGATCAGTGGTGGCGAACCTATGGCATGGGTGCCAGAGGCGGCACTCGGAGCCCTCTCTGTGGGCACACGTGCCGTTGCCCCAGTCCTAGGCCTTCAGCTGGGTTTTATAAAACCTTTTCGCTTTAGGCCTCCGCTGCCGTGTGCCAAAAAAAAAAAGGTTCAATCAATCAGTCTATTTCAACTTCTCGTGGGAAAAAAAAAAGATCTCGCAAAGTTGGAATTGATTGATTGAACTTTTTAGTCCCACCCAGTCTGCTGTTACCAAGGCAGCCATGGCCACCCAATGGGCCACACCCACCCGGCACCCGACGATGCATAAGTGGGTTTTGGGTTGCAGTTTGGGCACTCAGTCTCTAAAAGGTTTGCCATCGCTGTCTTAGATGAATTGATTACAAGGGTCACTGCAGTTTTCTGTGTGTTCAACACAGCACAATGTTGCTAAAATACTTAAAGTGTATACATAATCATAAGGCGGTTAAATAGCATATAGCAGCAATAAATCAGATGTCTTCTTTTTTCCATTAGCAACAATGATATGGCTAGTAAATATGGCTGAACAAGATACTGAAGCCCAGAAGGGAGCATCTAAAAATGCCACTTACAGTCAGCAAGGTGAGATTTTTTTTAATCTTTGTGAAGTCGTGTGAGAAATGCAAAATGAGAATTGTCAAGCAGTTTCATGTTAACTGTCTTACATTTACAGAAAGGCTTTGCTATTTAAATACTGAATTCATGTCCATCAGTGAACAATAACAGTGCACACTGAATTGAAGCCCTCTGCCAGAAAAATCCTTCCTTACCATTTGTCCCAAGATAGTTTTACTTCCACTCACCTCCAGGAATCCTTGTGACAAGTGAAGGGAGGGAATTCTACAAGTATTGACTTGGGTCTGTTTTTTTCTTCCAACCTTAGAATGCTGTTTTAACAACACAGCTTCTACTTGTACACCTCAACTCCTTTTTAAAAAAAAAATCAGCAGAGGCGGCTTCCATTTAATAATAATAAATAAATCATAAATAAATCATATAAATAAAATTTAGAAAAATCAATTTTTTACAAATCTGAAGAATAGGGAGAAAAATCTACTTCTCTACTACACATTATGCAATATGTTTAACTGAGTATAATAAACACACTTGTAACTAGCGTGTTGGGCTGGTGCCTTAAATCAATATACCAAACTGGCTTTCAAATAAGGTTTTTAAATTTATTCCATGGTAAATTGAACATGGTATATTTTACGATCATTTTTCTAGATTTTCTAATTTCTGCATGTACACTGAAAAGTACTGTTCTATTATGTTAAAGGATACTTTTATTTCCACAGAATCGTGCGTGAAATTGAAGTACGAATTTGAAGAGCATCTTATTTTTTTAAGAAAGCAAAATAATTAGTTCCTTGGATATACATGTTTTGTCCTGAGAGCTCTTTTATTGCTCTTGCAAGTTTCTCAGCATATAGAACTATTTGTAATTTAGAAAACCATATGGACTTCTCTAGAAATAATAGGGACTGGTGGGAATAATAATATTCTATATTTGCCTCCAAAACAGATCCTAAATACATACCATCAGTCTGTTTTACTGCTCCATTCACATAAAACAATCATCTAGTTGTGATTGTTTCCTTGTTAGACAATTAGCTCACTTGAGCTCTATCAGGTTGCTTTTCAGTATCAGAATAGGATCAAATATCAGGCAGAATGGGTAGACTATCCTCAGGCATCCACTCTAAAAAGACTAGCAGTTTGATAGCTGTTTATTTAATTGATTGTGATATTTTCATTGCCAAGCAAGAAAACAATGTACTTGTAGCATTTTCAATAAATGTGCCGTCATTGGATTCTTAGCATACATGTTGGAGGCAATGGAAATTATAAGGAATTATAATAGTACAATTGGAGCACCATGGGGAATTTGCTGCTGCATAGCTTAACTTGCAGGGATGTGGGGAATTGTATTTGCTTTTCCCGCTTAGGCAACAGAATGCCTTTGGATGGTGATAGATGCTTATAATGTATGTCACTGTCCAGTTTTACTTGGTTTGCTAAAATTGATTTGCAACCATTTTTTTTTCAATTCTACTTGCACTGAAGATCACAATTATATTGTATATCTGTCAAAAATTAAGTATAGGTAGTACTTGACTTATAACAGTTTGTTCATTTGACCGTTCAAAGTTAGAAGGGCACTGAAAAATGTGACTTGTGACCATTTTTCACACTTAAGACTGTTGCGGCATCCCTGTGGTCACGTGATCAAAATTCAGATGTTTGGCAACTGACTCATATTTATGACGGCTGCAGTGTCCCAGGGTCATGTGATCGCCTTTTGCGACCTTCTGACAAACAAAATCAATAGCCAGATTCACTTAACAACCCTGTTACTAACTTAACAACTGCAGTGATTTGCTTAACAGATGTAGCAAGAAAGATCGTAAGATGGGGCAAAATTCACTCAACAAATATCTCACTTAGCAGCAGAAATTTTGGGCTCAGTTGTGGTCATAAGTCAAGGATTACCTGTATGTACAAGAATTAGGATTTGGGTGCACCCTAACTTATTTTTCATTTGTGTAGTACTTGGTTTTTGTTAGCTCAGTGGCAACATTTTTTTTCCACCTATCAACTCTCATATAATCTAATCATGTATTGGGGTGATGATCCTATGATCCCAGAGTGTAGTAAAAATGCCTCTGTACTTCAGTTACAGTGAATCAAAATCAGAATGCAGGTCCTGAGGCAGATGATGGAGGTTTCAACCCAGAATGGGAGCAGCAACGAGACAACAGGATTGGCCCAATACAATCCACCCGTGAAACACGAGCAGCGGTTCAGACACTTCCCACTAATTCCCTAGCAAGCGAGGACCCAGAAGAGAGTAAGTAACATGAATAAATAAATCTAAATCAGCACAGAAACTTACTGTTGATTTAGAACTGGGGATGACAAGCTTTTAGTTGTTAAAATGCATTACTTAATACTTCTGGGATTACATAGGTTGCAAAGTGCATGTCCCACATGTAGGCAGAAGTTGGATGTTTTTTAGATAGTTTTGAAGAGATTGTTTTTTCTCTGAAAACACCCGTCTTTAGATTTAAGCTATAATTTTCATGTTTCCCATCTCTAAATGGGAGTGAGCTATATTTTCAGTAATCACAGTCGGAGAGAAACTCAAGGGATTTAGAAAGGAAACTTGGGCCACAGGTTACCTATCTCATCTTTAAAATGCAATTTTCTGGCCAAATTCTGATCATTATGGAAGCAGCAGCTGTTATTTTTAACTTTTGGTATACTGTAGCACTCATGTTATGTTCCCAAAATTTCTTATCGTTGTCACTCTTAAAATGAACTGTAAACCTCTCTTGATGAATGATAGGATAGCAAGCACGTCTTGTGAGGAATTTGCTTTATGGAATTCAGCCAATGTTATACATGAGTGAATTTTTGGGGGACCTGTTTGAACAGGTTTGTTTGGATGCCTGAAGATTTCAGGGAAATAAGAATTTTATTTGTCTTGGGCTTTCTATTCTGCTGGTTTAAAGAAACTAAGAAAAGCAAACCTAACTACTTAAATGTCCTGCTCAAGGAATGAGAATAAAGCAAAAATGCTTCATTTACTCATACAGCCATAAAAAGGGAGTACTCTTTAGTACCACATGTGAGTATCCACCTGTATTAGTTGCTCCTGGAAACCATATCAAATCTTGGAATAAATGTTGTCCCTCTCCCCATTGATATAAAAACTGAGCTCTATGATGCCGTTTGTAACAATCTATAGTCTAATACAGCGGTTCTCAACCTATGGGTCGCGACCCCATTTGGGGTCGATCGACCATTTCACGGGGGTCGCCAAGCAAGGCTGTCCGCCATTTTTTTCCCCCTTTTCCGGCGGGTGCCTTACCTCCCTTGGGCTGGGCCAGCTGGTGGTCGGCCTGTTCCGTCTCTGCCGCTTGCCAGCTATGCCTTGGCCGGCGCAGGGGGCTGAACCACGCATGCACGGTGCTTCCGGGCAGGGAAAGTCCTCGACTTACGACCAGTTGGGTAGTCCTCGACTTACGACCGGTTTAGTCCTCGACTTACGACCAGTTGGGGTCGCGGCATTAAAAAGGTTGAGAACCACTGATCTATAGTCTAATAGAAAGTGAGAGTTTATTTGTTAACCAAAAATTGTTGTGAATGCAGAATGATCTGTATAATTATTTCCAGACTGACAGAAAATATGTTAATTTTAATGATCCCTTGCAACTGTATAGCCAGAATTCCTCTTAATAATGAGGTATTTTGGTAGAAGTAACATAAGTTGCATTTTGGCAAGCTCAAACAGATCTCTGCCATCATGTTCCCAAAAGGATTGTTGTTGCTTTACCTCAGTTCCTCAGTTCCTTTTAATCACTGTTAAATCACTATCAGCTAATTGGATTTTTTTTTCTGCCCTTTTCGTAAGGCTTATGCTAAGTTTTGATTTTATGAAATTCGTGGTCTTCTGAAAAAGAACAGATTGCTAGTTCATATTTTCTGCATCATAATTATATCTATTTTTGGTTCATTTGTTCATATCTTTGTTCTGCCAAAGATGCTTATGACCTTGAAAAGGTTGTTGGGAAATGTGTTCCATGCAATCTTCAACTTTCCTTTTCAGAGGGATACTCTTTGTATAAAAAAATGTGCAAATTATTCTATGCCCAAACCGTAATAAAGATCCAAGATTGAACATTTCCCTTTTTCAGAACATATGCAGACATAGACAGTGGCAGGGAATGGAGCAATGGAAAGAAAGACCTTAGGGAAATTAGGTGACAGACAGGCTGGTGAAATATGCTACATTGGGATACCAGCAGTGGGAGGAAGGCTGGGAACACCTGAGTTGGGTGGATGAAATTCGCCATGCTGCAATCATGTCCTTATTGATTAGACCAGGGGTAGTCAACCTTGGCTCTTTTATGACTCGTGGACTCCAACTCCCAGAATTCCTGAGCCAGCTGGGCTGGCTCAGGAATTCTGGGAGTTGGAGTCCACGAGTCATAAAAGAGCCACGGTTGCCTACCCATGGATTAGACCTTTGGGGTGAGGAACAGAGGACACAAACCAGTACATTTGGCAATGGTAACAGATCAAGGGAGATTCAGTATTGAATGTGTCTCTTGTTCCCTTACTACTTGGTCAGATGAAATCTGTTGTCAGTCTTAAATTGAGAGTTTCATCTTTGGAAGACACCAAGGTCTATAGCAAATAA